GTTGTTGTTGTTGTTGTTGTTGTTGTTGTTGTTGTTGTTGTTGTTGTTGTTGTTGTTGTTGTTACCAACTCTTCCATCACTAAGGTAAAAAACGATCTAGAGAGGGGTGCTTCAAGTTAATTCAGAGGCCTCTCACTCTGAAGGCAGCCTTCCGCCTCTGAATCCGACGACCTCCCTTCACTGTAAATCCGGCTGCAATACGAACCCTAAGCTCTGTCACATGTCGAAGCTCCGACTGGGCTGTTGTGATCTCGGCGTCAATTTGACGACGTTGCACTCGGTCTGGGACTCCTTGATGTCCTTCAAAATTCGGTCCACACTGACAGCAAGTTCGTTGCAAGGCCCTATCCTCAAATCTGCATCAAGTACGAGAATGCGTTTTGTTTGGGTTAAAGTGAAGTGTTCTTGGATGAATTTCAATGAATATTCTGAGTTCGGCCCAAGAACGAGAGATGCCTCTTAGATTAGGACTCCTTATTGTGCAATAAATAATATATACAAATCTATATTTAATTTTTTTATTTTGCGGCGGGCTAGCCTGCGGCCCGCCAAAACCCATGACCCGTGTGGGCTAGCCTGTTTAGTCTCGCTCTCTGGTGGGCCTGCAAATATCTGGCCCGGCATATCCTTTTGGCGGGGCGGGGCGAGCTGCTGGCCCGTGAGCTGAGGCTCGTTTGACATGTCTAATGACCAAGACCAAAGATCCAAGTCCAAGTCCATGGTCAAGTCAATGTTCAAGACCCACGTGTGTGCCCAAGCTCGAGCGATCGCATGTGTGTTTGGCCAAAGCTAGCACGTAGACTTGGTGCACAATAGTAAACTGTTGTTGTGATCACTAAAACTCTTCTTATTATAATAGAGAGATTTATCTCATTTAAGAGTCTAATGTAAGATGCGTCTCTTTATCTTTCAAATCTTACAACCAACGTTTTAATTATTATAAATTTCTTAGATATAATAATTAAATTAATCATGTCTTGATGAGTTTAGATTGACAGATATATTGTACATACAAAATAAATAAATATTTATATTTATCTTCACAATAAAAATTAAATTATCTATTAATATTAATTTGAAAAATAAAATTATTTACATTAATTTAACTCTAAAGTTGTTATATAATATAACTTTTAATATATAAATCTAAGTGATCAACGTTATTTTAAATATAAATAATATAGTTATTCAAAAATATATAAAGATTTTAAAATATATCGAGTAATTATTAAAATTGGTTCAAACTATTTCGAGTTAAATATTAAATTTCATTTTTGAAAAGAAGAATATAGTAATTGGAAAAAGGGAAAATAGAATACGTGTTTTCCAAAATCCGAAGGCAAATCGCAGAACCCTTCCGCCTATTTCCCCTCATTTTTTTCCCTTTTTGATTTCTTCTTTATATTTTTTTTGGTTGGTTACCTGAAAATGATGGAGCAGCCCACCCCCATCACTAAGACGGAAAATGATGATGAAATGAAATCAGTTCCATTGGAGCCCGATGCTAAAGATCCGAATCCGGTGGCTGGAACCGGCCCCGACCCGAAGCCCGATGGCGGTGCTGCATTAAAGCCACCGGATAAAGCCGATATAAATGGCCGCGGTAGCAGCGCTGACGGGGATTCCAAGGGGAAGAATAGCGCTGCGGAGGAGAGTGTTACTACTGACCCGGCGGCGGAGGGTTTGAAAACGAAGAAATCGGTGCGGTGGAGCCAGGAGCTGGTGATGGAAAAGCCGATCCCGAGGGATTCCGATAGCGGATCTGGCAATCCGTACGTCAATTACTCGCCAGCGCCCGCCGCTAATTCCTCATCGTTCAATTTCAAAGGTCGGTCATTGTTTTTGTTCCATTTGTATCTCTTTCTGGTGTATGCATGTAGGGTTTAGATGCGTGATCTGAATGAAAATATGGATTCTTCTTATTGATTTATGTTCGTCAAGTTTGGATGAACATAGGCTGTTTGTATTTCATTGCTCACATTTTGAAGCGTGAGAAGTGGATTTATGTCTCAATATACTTCAGTTTTCTTCGAATAACTGATTATTATTATTATTATTATTATTTTTTTTAAAATTTTGGTTTCAGGCAATCCGAATATCATTTAGATGTTTCCATCTTGTATGAATCCTTTTGTTTTCAATTTCGGAGATTGTATGGATTTCTGTTTTATTTGAAGTTTTATCTGCATAATTGATTTGAGTGATTTAGCTGATTTATTTTTATTTAAGTTTGATTCGATGATATTGGATGCTTCATTGGTGGTATGTGGTAAATGCAATTTTTTTCTGGTTACTGGATTTCAGAAACTATGGGCAGTGTGAAGGATGTGTTGGGGAAATGGGGGAAGAAGGTTGGAGAAGCAACCAAAAAGGCCGAGGATCTTGCCGGGAACACTTGGCAGCACTGTAAGGATTAGTTTTATTCGGTTTCTGGTTTTTCTTTTGTCTACATCATGTGTTTTTGATGTCATTGATGGATGCTGAGCTCTTGCAGTTGATGACATTGATGGATGTTGTGCTCTTGTTGATGTGTTGCATATTAAAGAAGGTTCTTGTCATATGAAACTAGATATAGCTGGATTACTTTTGTTCTCCTTCACATAATATGCGAATGTTTACAACTGTTATATCGTAAAAAGATTCGACACTTTTCTTGTTTGTATGGATCAAACAAGGCTTCCTTGAGAGCTATATATTTGGATTCTCTTTTAGTCAATTAAACACGATAAATACGTAGGTATTGGAACCTGTTGATTCATTTTTCGTTGGGCACTTTGTTTTGTTTTGGTTAAGTTGTCAAACAAACCACAAAATTGAGTGCATTGATACTGATTAGTAGCCAACTGGATGGGGGTACATTGAACATATGTGTTCACTGTATTTTTTTGAAGTCTTCTTACCCATGGGGAAAGCATACTATGCATTTAAGTTTGTCTATTTTTTCTTAGAATTTTATCATAGCTATTGGTGCAGTAAGAGGTTGTGTATATCTTGGCAGAAAATTGATGCAAACCTTTCTGCAGTGTTATTCCTGCCATTGTTCTCCTGAAATCACATATTACATTTTCCTCCATTAAAGATAGCGTCTCTTACACGCTGTCCTGCAATAAATAATGGAGAAGAAGCCCTGTGAGCAACTCTGCTCCCAGGCTGTTGGGTGATTGCTTTTCCTTCGGGTCCTTTCTAGTTTTGAGATTAGCATAAATATATTCTTCTCGCAAAAATTTGTATGAGCTGCTAGAGAGATTGGAATAATATAAAATAATAGTTGATTATTTAGTTCTAAGATGGTCGTTTTAGTCAAATTGTGATTGGATCTTATGATTAATGAGAAAGCAATGGTGATTGACTGATTGTATATCACACATTGGAAGAGATGAGTGTAGTGATGAAAGCTGAATTTTTGAGATTCTTTATTGGGACTTTCGCCGATCTTTTTCCTTGGCAAGAACGCCCTAGCTTTTCCCATCAATGTTATTATTATTAATTTTTTTTTTTCGTTTTTAGACCGAAGAAAACATGAAAAGAGACCATAAAAAATGGTTTAAATATTTAAATTTGAATGAGGATATGTGGACATGTGATCCATATAGCCGACCCCACTTAGTGGGATTTTAACGGCTTGTTGATTGATTGGTTGATTTTTATAATTCCTATTCGCATCTGGGATGCTCATTACTGTAGTTTCTTTTGCACTGAGTAATGCACGTCGACTTCTAATATTTCATAAATGTATTATGATCTGACATAAGTATTAAGAGACATCATTAAGCAAACAGATAATCACAGCGCACATATAAATTATTAAACATATTATATTGTACCTGCTGAAGGAAGTTCTTCACATTAAAGTGTTGGATAAGTGTACGGGTCTCTGTTGTTTCCCTTCTTCTGTCCTTAATTATAGGATTGTTGGCTCATCATATGATATGCATATAGGGAGCCTCTAGGAAGATCTACAGTTCTACACTGTTGCATGTGGTGTGATTACTCTGTATATATGGAAATGAAGACCTCTTCCTCTGGTTCATTTGCTCTCTGATTTGCATTACTATCACACGTTTTGTTACTGCAGTCACACATTTTAATTTTGACATTATTCTCATATAGCAATAGCGGAACTTGCATAAATGCAGTAATTGTTTTTTTAATATTTATAATTTACAATAATACAAGTGCCGGAGATATAAAAATGGAGGGGCAGAAATATAAGAAGAAAAAGGAAAGTAGGGAAGCTTCATAAAGGAATGTTTAAGACATATTTTCGACCAATTAGTTAGTTTTACCAACAAGGGTCCTGAAAGCAAGTGAGCAAAGTAATGTTTAATTGCATTCTTTCGAGCAAATCTTGAAAATGAGAACTAGGCAACTGGCTATTGTTCTATTAATATCTGAAGATTTTGTTGGAAGGACTGGCAATTTTCAGATTATTCCTGTAACTTTTTGAATCTTGTGAGTGTGTTCTTAATTCATAGTCCTGATAGTTCAAATATTGTGCTCGGCTATTAACTTAAGAACAAAGGATTCTTAGGGTTCCAGCATAAGGTCAAGGATAAGTATACACCTGTTGCAAAACTGTCACCCTTTGGCAGTAACTGGTATTTATATATTTTGTTGCATTTTTCTAGTTGAGTGTACTTTTAAACTTCTAGAATTTGCGCGATCCTAACCTCTTGACGAGGTCAATCAAAGCGTGTTTCTGAACTTCAAGAAATTGCTAAACATTTCGTGACTGTCAAATGCCGAAAGGACTTTGGTTGTCCACTGATCTTGTCACCTCTATAGATTTGCTCATCTCTTAATCGTGAATGAGTACTAGTGGCGTAGCTCAGAGAAATTTATACTGGTGTACAAGCCCCTATTCTCCCCAATTTCCTCCTTTTTCTTATGTGCTTCTGTTCCAAGTAGGACATCTTCTTATTTATTTATTCATTCGTTAATTTATTTATTACCTTTTGCCTTCCACCTTCGATTGGTTTAGTGAAAACAAGCCCTAGTCTGGCGGATGCTGCTCTAGGAAGAATTGCTCAAGGAACAAAGGTTCTAGCTGAAGGTGGTTACGAAAAAATATTTCGGCAGACATTTGAGACAGTTCCTGAGGAGGAGCTGATGAATTCATTCGCGTGCTACTTGTCAACATCAGCTGGTCCTGTCATGGGTGTTTTGTACGTCTCCACTGCAAAGCTTGCATTTTGTAGTGATAACCCGCTTTCTTACCAAGATGCAGATAAGACTGAGTGGAGCTATTATAAGGTACGTGTCTGGATGTGCGACTGCTGCTAAAACAATTTTTATTGAATAAATGCGGAAAGCCCGGAGAAAGTTATATAATTGCTGTAAAGACTATTTAGTGTTTTAACATTTTATCCGCATTAGTTAATAAAATGGTGCATGCAATCTAAGGTTTTACGTGTAACGTGGGAACTTTCTGTTTTTTTACCTCTTTCGAATCATCTCAAATATTTGTTGCAGTTTTTGCAATCATTCCTAGTTTTAGTAAGCTTGATCTTCTTCTTTTTCTTTCTTTCTTTCTTTTTTTTTTGGGTTTATAAATACTATTGGCAGGTTGTTATCCCATTGCATCAATTAAAAGCGGTGAATCCTTCAACAAGTAGAACCAACCAATCTGAAAAATACATCCAGATCATATCGGTCGATAATCATGAATTTTGGTACATGGGCTTCTTAAATTACAACGGGGCTGTAGAATGCTTGCAGCACGCCTTACAAGCTCGTGAGAATCAAGCAGTGTAAACGTTGTCCATCCGGGCTTCAGTCTTACAAATTTGCAAAAGGACGAGCTTCCTCATACTGGGAGGCATACTCGGGTACTGTATGTTTCCCTCACAACAAAACACAATCTATATTCAGAATTCTCGATAAATGTGTTGTTACTCTGCCTTTGTTAAAGATGTGTGTGTGTGTGTGTGGTTGTAACATTAGAGTTGAACTTGAGAAGAAAGCATTTTTGCTAAAAGACACATTTTTACTTGTTGAGTTGGCCAACATTTTGTGCCTTTGATTTAGCAATTCTTCTTGCGTTCGGCACATGCTATTTTGTTTCATGAAATCTTTACAAAGAACTGATACTCAAAACATGTGTTGGAGTCGGTTACTTGATGTGCGTTGTGAATCGTAAATCTTGTTTGGGACGTCGAGTTTTAGTTTTTTTTTTTCTTTTTTTTTTTCACTTGATTGTTGATTTAGTAGAGCAATAATTGAGTTCGGGTTGAGCTCAATGTCGTTAATTTGTATTCGGTTCTTCTGATGTACTCCTACTTATTAACTTTTGATTAGGGGGTTTATATTGCAAAATGAACTCTGGAACATAGAATCTGGTCTTTGTGCACTTGTTTTGGATCTGTAGTCAGACTATCTACATTTTACAAGGAGTTTACCTAACAACATAGTTTCATATATATATATATATATATATATTTTTTATAAATGTATATGCGTATTCAAACTAAAATACCACTTTATAAAATAAAATAAATAATAGTCTGTCATTTCAAAGTACAATAATATATTTTTTGTTTAGAAGAATCACAGCAGAATATTTCTAAGATTATTAATCATGCGGACATTAGTATGGTCCATTCATCAAAATAAATATTAATTTCTCGACGACCACAAATAAAAGAGAGAAAAAAAAAACGAATAAAGAACAATAAAAAAAGAAACAGGCGGAGGACTTAAATTAATAGTTGCCTGTATGTTCACGCGAAAATCTTTTCACATCCCATACTCACAATACTTGTCCCAGACGCTATCAATTAATAGTTGCTTTTTTAACCTCATCCTATATTTTTTAATTATATTTCTGTAGACATGGCCAGTCAACGGGGTAACACTTAACCGGCCCGCCAAAAATCAAAGGCCGGTTCGGTCTCGGACCACCGGAATAAAAAAAAGGGACCTGGATATGACTCGTAAAACCACGGTGCCGGTTCTCGGAACCAGAAACCTATGGGCCGGTTGCCGGCTGGGTTGGGACCGGGACGACGCGCCAGGACGGCCCGTGGCCATGTCTGTATTTCTGTCGTGGCACTTTGTTTAGTTTCTATAAATTGTCTCTGGCAGTGGCGCAACGAGTTAAGTTTCACTGTGTGCGCCGTGCAGCTAACATATGTACTTAAATATAGCCAATTTAATTGGCTAAATTTTCATCTCTTGAGCTATGACTAAATTGTAGCAAAGTTATGATAAACGTACGACATCTACAAAGACTGCATCTTTACGTCTAATGTTAGTGTACGTACGGGAATCATTTCTTAATGATTTATTGCATTTGGTTTCTGCAATTTTGCAGATGATCTTTTTCATAGAGATGCAGCCATATATTAAATTTAATTGTTTAGAAACTTTTCATAAAAAAAAAAAAAAAAGGTTTCCTATTGACATTTAATTCTCCATTTTTTTATGTCGTCACACTCCCCTTTTCATTCTAATTTCTTAGGCAATTTCTGAAGTATAAAAAAAAAAGCAGAAAAAAAAAGAAGATCCAAAATGAAGGTATGTTCCACTCATGAAATGGAATATCATTTAATAAATATTCTAAATTAATTTTTCTAATGAAATATTAAAGTATATGAATGTCAGGTTCCCCTCAATATTAAAAGAAAATAGAGCACCTAACAACACATCATTACATAAGTTTACCCCTTCATTTTGGTGACTAGAGGGATCAAGCAATTCGAGCCGTTTTTTTTTTCTTTTTTTTTTTGATAGAGAGAGAGAGAGAGATGAAGTTTGTAAGGAAAATATCTCAATCGAGTTATACAACTCTTCATTAACCAATAATATATACACATAACTAAAGTTATAGTTACCAAAAGATAACCTAAAAAATAATACAGTAAATACACAAATATACTCATTAACACCCATAAAGTTAGAGCATGCGGATTCCGAATACCAACTTGGAAAGAAAGAATTCAAATTCACGCTTCCCAACACTACTAGATATATCAGTTTTACCAATAGAATAATCTGTTGGTAATCAAGTTTCCCAATGAAATGTCAATGGATTGTCAATGGATTTTCTTGTTGCTATATGACTTGTTACTAGTTTTTGCCAACAGAAATAAAATCCGTTTGGAAAATTCCAATAAATTACCAACAAATTTGTAGCGGAATATGAGCAGTAGAAATTAGACTATGAAGAACAACATCACGAACAAAGTGGCAATCCACCTCAATATGCTTAGTGCGTTCGTGAAAAACTGGATTCGCCGCAATATACAGCGCAGACTGACTGTCACAGTATAACCGCATAGGCTGAGAGTGAGCGACACCAAGAGTAGATAACACTCTCAGTAACCACTTCAACTCACACAATGTAGTAGCTATTTAACCTCAGCATAAGAGCGAAGGACAGTAGGTTGTTTCTTGGTTCTCCAGTCAGAAAGAGAACACCAAGTGAGAGGGCAAGACGCCCAATCCTAATCACAGCATGCGTAAAGTTGAAGATCGCAGTCAATACAGGATTCACTGACCTGGAGAGTCTTTCAAATATCGAACCACATGTAGAGCAGAGTCACAATGAGTTAGACGTGATTGATGCATAAATTGAGAGAGCATATGCACCAAATAAGATAACTCAAGATGAGTCACCGCCAGATAGATAAGACGTCTGACTAAACAACGATATCGCTTGGGATTAAACAATAAATCACCCTCAACAAGAGGAAGCTGATGATTCTGCTCTAACAGAAAACCAGCTGGCTTGCTCCCTAAAAGTTCAACCTCAACAATGATGACAAGAGCATAATTTCGCTGACAGAGAAAGAAGCCAAAAAAATTCTGGGCAACCTCGATATCAAGAAAATACTTAAGCAACCCAAAATCCTTCATGTGAAAACAACGACACAAGTAACTTTTGAAGGCCGTAATGGATGTGATATCATTCCTAAAAACAATCAAATCATCAACATGGATCAAGACCTACAGATGGACGTAACTACAATGTAGTTTAAAAAGAGAGTAATTATGATAGCACTGACAAAAGCCATTCTTCTTCAAAGTCGTAGCCGACGTGGAAAATCAGCAGTGGGGAGCTTGTTTCAAGCCATAGAGGGAGCGGCGAAGGCGACAAACCTGGCCATCAATGCCAGAGGGAGGAAACTTCATGTAAACCTCATCAGTCAAATCACAATGCAGAAAGGCATTGTAAACATCCATCTGGCGAACTTTCCCTGGCAGTAGCCACAACAAAAAATAATCGGACTTTAACCATTTTCGCGACAGGAGAAAACGTCTCGTGATAATCGAGGTCTTCCACCTGGTTATTGCCAAAAATCATCAGACGTGCTTTGAAGTGCTCAACAGTAACATCAGACTTATGCTTAATTTTAAAGACTCACTTGCACCCAATCACACACTTCCCAAGGCACGAATCTCATCCTGCATAGCGGCGCGCCAACGAGAATAGGTCACGACTTTAACCAAAGTGAGAGGCTTAACAGAGGAGGCGACAACAGCCGATGTATTTGTTTAATGCTTAGTCAAAAATAAATTTATATTTTAACTACTAATATAAAACCCGCAATTTTAAATATCTCGTCTCGTAAGCAACTGAAGGATAAATCCACGTCAAAGTATAATATTTGTGTGACCACAGAAACACAATGCCTATGAATAAAAAGGCCCATCATCTCTGTTTTTTTTTCTTTTTTTTTTTCTTTTTTTTTTTTAATTTTATTGTTTGTTTTTTTATGAGACAAAAACTGAAACTCAATGTGAAAGGATAAATAACAAAGTTTCCATTTGGGTGCAAGGCTGATGCTAGTGAAGGAAACATATGAGTGTGTCAGCTCAAACATGGCACCGATATTAATTAATATTTTGCAAAATCTTAATAGCTTTTTTATAATTGATGTTGAAATTGAGGAAAAATAAATAGGGGACCCATTTTAATTTTTCATTTTTTTATTGGAGCAGTTGGCAAATTCCATTAAATCAAATTCCATTAAAAATCAAATCAACTCTGTATCACCCCCAAGAATCTAATCAAGTACTCTCTGTAACCTCTGCAGAACCACATGCTTTCAACTTTGTGCAAAATGGGGTAAACGCTTAAATTGGTGATTATAATAATTATTGTGCTGCTGTCTTTTTGGATTGAGAAAAATGGAGAAAATATATTTTTTTTTATTAATAATAGTACTCTATTTTAATAGTTAGTCTTAGCTAATATTAGTTGAGGTTGATAATAAGAGCATAATCGAGATGGTTCAAAATAAGCACCTTCGCGGTTCGCATGGAGGGTTGTTGAAAGCTATAAGGGAGCTCCTGTATCGTAGTTGGGAGGTGGATATTATTCATGGCTATAGGGAGGCCAACTTTGTGGCGGATTACTTGGCAGCCTTGGCGGCGAGATGCCTCGGGGGTTTGCAGCGGTTGGCGAGTCCTCCGTCGGGGGTCAGCATGTGGTTACATCATGATAGAAATGGGATCGTTCATCCTCGGAGCGTGTTAATCTAGGCGTCGTGCCTCCATTCCTGTACCAAAAAAAGAAAACAGTTTTTAATCTGTCACATACTTTTGTACTCGTTCGAACTCAAAATCATACTCAAAATTAAGCTAACTCAACTCTATTCAATATTATCAATATAATTATATAGTACCTACCAATCGTTTTCACATGTTTTTAACTATCTATTAAAGTTAAAGAACTTTAATTCATTATTCACCAACTCACATGTTTTTAACTATCTATTAGTTCTAATCACCTCTCTCATATTTTTAACTCA